GGGGGGGGGTCGTTTTGAAAAAATGAGGCATGAGAGAGTGGCACTTGCACCAGCTGTGTGCGGAGGCAAAGCGAGTGGAAGCCGTTGACGAACACTATTCAAACGCGGGTGGAGAGGAGAGGAATGTACGTTGGAATGTCGCCGGACAACGTGCGAGGGGTGGGAGGCGATGACTGCACCACCACCCCCCACCACCCCCACACACACAGATACACACGCTGATGCCTTGCGCACGTCAAAGCCTGCATAAGCTGTCTTACAGCTGACATGACCTATTACCATCGTTGAAGTAGACGCACGGCTCTATGTGGAGAGGGAGAGACGGCAACGTCTACTCTTGGACGTCACTGAACGATAGGCATCATCGCAAACCGCTCCTGCAGTGCTGTCAGGCGCGATGGGGGGGCGGGTGCCGCGGTGGACGCGCGCGCCGACGACGGCGGCGACGAGACGTGGCCACTTACGGACGAAGAAACGGAGGCGTCTGCCACACCGCCGTTGTGGGAATTCCTGCTGCTGTTGCTCTTGTTCTTGATGTGGGTCTTATCTCGCCTCGCGGAGGCGTGCGGGCCGTTTGTGGTGGCCACATCAGAGGCCACCTTTGACAAGAGCTGCTGCTGGCGTTGCTCGAGGTCGCGCAGTGCCTGCCGCATCTGTCGCTCCCCCGCCGCTCGCTCGCGGTCGTACGTCTGCACCACCGTCGCAGCTGCTTCGCCACCGTCACGTTGTTGGTCCACAACCGTCAAAGGCAATGGATGGTCCGCGCCCATGGACGGGTTGTCGTCATTGTGGTGGCTGTTATTGTTGGTGTCTGACGCAAGCGCGTGGCGGTGCCTCTGGGAGGCCGTGGAGGATTCAAAAGATGTGTCGTTGGCGGTTGAATTAAAGAGCGGCGCTGCTGCGTGCAGCATCGACGAGTCCGCCGAAGTTGTTGCGGACCTCGACGGGCCTGTCGCTTCCGCCGCTGCGGCCATTGGGGCCGACCTTCGTACCACAGGAGCAGGAGGAGCAGCTGAAGCGGCGGTGGCAGTAGAAGCAGCAGCAGCATGCGGCGGTGGGGCACGTGTGATAGGCGACGGCGAGAGCATGTCGTTCAGCGGCGAGTCATCGCTGGGCAGCACGTTGCTGTATGACAGCGGGCGTCGCAGGCGGGACGAGGTGGCACGGCGCCGCGGCGTGGGCACGCGGTGGCGGTGCACTGACGTATGCGCAAGCATGGAGGACGGCTCATTGTGCGGCCCGTACTCCTGCAGCACATCCCGCACCATAGTGCGGAGTACCTCCGCCTGCCCGTCCTCCACCAGCGGCCGGCCATGCGCCTGCAGCATGACGGGGGTGCCACCTGTTGGCGTGTAATCGATACTCTCCACGTTTTGCTGCTGCTGTTGTTCTATTTGCTGTCCTTCGTACCGCTGGTTGGGTGTTGCGAGTGATGCCCGCCGTGCTTGGCTGCGGGGCGCCGCCGAAGCAAATGGCAACGATGCTGCAGCAGCAGCAGCAGGTGAAAGAGGCGGCGGTGGTGGCAGAGCGGCGGGGAGCAGGCGCTGGCTGTCCGCATCGTCGCGTGCCTCAAGTCGCCTCTCCCACGCGATGCGGTCCACTGCGCATTTCCACCGCTCCGTCTCCCGCTCACGCTCGGCGACAGCAGCAAGCAGTCGAGTCACTTCCCCCTCCAGCCGCACCTGCACGGCGTCGCGCTTCGCTGTGGCCTTGTGCAGCGCGGCGATGGTCTCCTGCAGCGCGGCCTCCTGCTGTTGTGCAGCCTCCAACTCACGGCGGGCGCGCAGCA